CTCCTTGCAGCGGAATTCTCTTCCTACTCGAAATCCGTCCATATCCACGACAGCCACGATGTTATCTTTGCAAGCCATTGCGAACGATGAGCGTGATTTGTGAGCTGACTCAAATATAAAGCGAATTAATTTCGAAAGTGGGCGTGCCGTTCATATATCGTAATATCTCGTTAATCTCGTTCATATCTAGTTAATATCTCGTAAACTTTTCATGAAGTTTTTGCGATCGTCGCTTCACAAACCTTCTCCAATGCCTCGTCAAAGTACATACATATGCGGCCGGAAAGAAGAAAATTTCAGATATGGATTAACGATTTTAACATTTATTTGTCTTGCAATTAGTTACAGCAATAAATAATAATTTCTTCTAAAACGTTTTTTTACCATTGGACTAAATTTAAAGTCTAATTATCATCATCGTCATAATCTTCACTGTCTTTATTTTCCTCGTCATCATCAATCTCGTGGTCGCTTAAAAGTCTTTTAATAAGAAACTTCTCTTATCAACTGCAGCTTCTATTGCTTCTTCTGGCTCAAAATCATCATTTTGAATAAACTCATCTTTTGTGTTCATTATTTTCTTATGTACTGGATCTTTCTTTAGTTGTCTTATCCACAAAAGGCGCTCTAAGTAGATATTTTCTAATTCTTTCTGGAGTCTAGGCATAATATTCAAGTAAGCTTTCTCTTTAGCAGAGTGCTCATCGAAACCTCTGTTTATGAGGCGCTCTTTCATTTCCTCGAAAGCTGTGTTACTTCTTTGTTTTGCTTCTTCTATTAGTGGTATCCAGGGATCCATTTCTTCTCCAGATTCTGAGTCAGTCGCCGTCGAACTTCCAGACTGCTGAGTAGAAGTTGTTGAGACATCGTCACGGAAATCTCTTTCTTGACTGTCCGAGTCTGTTTGAGACATGTTTTTTTCTTGTTCTCGTAATGGACAGTATTCCCGTTCGTGTCTACGCTGATTGTAACCGCGATTAAAGTATCTTCCGCAAAATTGGCAGCTCATTCCTTAGCACTGGAGGCGTGAAAATGCCTTGTTATCGAGCAGTAATGCAGTTTTATGAGCAGATGAGCATGTGCTCATGAGCAGTTATGAGCATGTGCTCATCTGCTTATCGCATAAAATGGCACACTGTTCATTGAAAATTTTCAGGCCCAATATAATATAAGTTATATTGTTCAATTTAAAAAATAATGTCGGTTGCAATTTCTATGCGATGAGCAGATGAGCATCTGCTAATGAGCAGTTATGAGCATGTGCTCATCTGCTCATCGCATAAAATTTGTAATCAACGCGTTGCTTGGACCATAAATTAAGACACGGATTAACGCTTGTAACAATATAACTAAGTAGAACAATTTTACAAATATCTTAAACATTTGTCTGGGCAGGTTTTTTCCATTTCAAATTAGAGGTGGAATATCGGTTACAAATTTTATGCGATGAGCAGATGAGCACATGCTCATAACTGCTCATTAGCAGATGCTCATCTGCTCATCGCATAGAATTGCAACCGACATTATTTTTTTAAATTGAACAATATAAATTATATTATATTGGGCCTGAAAAATTTCAATGAACCGGTGCCATTTTATGCGATGAGCAGATGAGCACATGCTCATAACTGCTCATGAGCACATGCTCATTTGCTCATAAAACTGCATTACTGCTCGATAACAAGGCATTTTCACGCCTCAGTGCTAAGGGAATGAGCTGCCAATTTTGCGAAGATACTTTAATCGCGGTTACAATCAGCGTAGACACGAACAGGAATACTGTCCATTACGAGAACAAGAAAAAAACATGTCTCAAACAGACTCGGACAGTCAAGAAAGAGATTTCCGTGACGATGTCTCAACAACTTCTACTCAGCAGTCTGGAAGTTCGACGGCGACTGACTCAGAATCTGGAGAGGAAATGGATCCCTGGATACCACTAATAGAAGAAGCAAAACAAAGAAGTAACACAGCTTTCGAGGAAATGAAAGAACGCCTCATAAACAGAGGTTTCGATGAGCACTCTGCTAAAGAGAAAGCTTACTTGAATATTATGCCTAGACTCCAGAAAGAATTAGAAAATATCTACTTAGAGCGCCTTTTGTGGATAAGACAACTAAAGAAAGATCCAGTACATAAGAAAATAATGAACACAAAAGATGCGTTTATTCAAAGATGATTTTGAGCCAGAAGAAGCAATAGAAGCTGCAGTTGATAAGAGAAAGTTTCTTATTAAAAGACTTTTAAGCGACCACGAGATTGATGATGACGAGGAAAATAAAGACAGTGAAGATTATGACGATGATGATAATTAGACTTTAAATTTAGTCCAATGGTAAAAAAACGTTTTAGAAGAAATTATTATTTATTGCTGTAACTAATTGCAAGACAAATAAATGTTAAAATCGTTAATCCATATCTGAAATTTTCTTCTTTCCGGCCGCATATGTATGTACTTTGACGAGGCATTGGAGAGGTTTGTGAGCGACGATCGCAAAAACTTCATGAAAAGTTTACGAGATATTAACTAGATATGAACGAGATTAACGAGATATTACGATATATGAACGGCACGCCCACTTTCGAAATTAATTCGCTTTATATTTGAGTCAGCTCACAAATCACGCTCATCGTTCGCAATGGCTTGCAAAGATAACATCGTGGCTGTCGTGGATATGGACGGATTTCGAGTAGGAAGAGAATTCCGCTGCAAGGAGCTCGGTATCATCAAAGTCGGGGATACCTACGGGCAATCCTTCTTTTTTAAACATTGGGCTTCGTTGGTCGGATTTAAGTGAAAAAGACCAAAAGGCGTGCAAATTCGTACAGAAGAAAATCCACAAACTACCGTTTGGGGTGCCGCAGGGCGTCAAAGCATTCCATATTTCGCAGTTGGAGGCAATCGTGGATAATTTCTACAGGAAAATAAAAAAGAACCCAAACTGTACGATTGCCTACAAAGGCGGAATTATTAAAAGGGATTTCCTAAAAAACTAAGCATCCCTTCAGTTAATTTGGAATGCTTTGGCTGCCCCAAAGCAGAAAAACTGTTTGATCAGCTGGGCTGGTTAGAGACCTGTGGCAGACACTTGGATGCCTGGGCGTACCAACACTGTGCCAAAGTCGAAGTTGAGGCCTTCTCGATGTAGCTGGAGAAGGTTTAAAGCAAGGAAAAGAAGAAGAAAAAGAAAAAAACCGGTTCTTTTTTAAGAACCCCCAAATTTTCGAAAGAACGTAAACGAAATCTCTATGATATTAAAATTCATATTAATCATACACACATTATTCTCATCATCAATGACTAAATCGTTACTATTCCTCACACGTACTTTCGTTTGTTTTTCACAATGTCACTGTGAAAGAGTCACTTCAGTCAAATTATGCATTAGGCAAATAGTTTGAAGATTGAGTAAACTTATTTCCCCTGAATCATCTTTTAGCGCGTAATATTTATGAGTAAACTAACCATGGGAAACGTTTCAATGCAACGCTTCTGGCGTAATTAATTATATTCACATTAATCCCTCTGTATCTGATCAATTCATTATTATCCCAGTGTCGCTAATATTAAAATAGCCACCTCACTATTAGGGTTAGTAATTGAGTAAAAAATTTTTACCCCGAATCCTTTAGTGTATAATATTTGTTAGCAAACTAACCAGGGGAAACGTTTCAATGCAATGCTTTTAGCGTAATTAATTATATTCACATTAATCCCTCTATTGTCTGATCAATTCATTACTATCGCAGTATCGCCAACATTGAAAGAGCTATTACGTTTGAGTTTCGTTAACAATAGGCGGATCTTGTAACCGAAGATGCTTCATTTACTGTGAAAACGCTACAGCATATTACTTATCATTCGACATTATGACAGCCAACATCAGATTTTTATGGAAGGACGAACTTATACAACGTATCGACATGTGTTTTTCCAGTCTTGAAAATAAAATTCTAAATGAACTGACGGAAAAGGCAAAAGAAAGATGGATACCTATCTGGAATGAAAGTCAAACATTTACAAACAAACGGTTTATTCGAATGATTTGACGCGCTTGCGTTCGTCATGGATATATTGACAAACGTTATGAAATCTTGGATGCCCTTGTCGATAACATGACAATTGGTGTATGGAAATAATATGGCGCTCGTGCATTCGTTATGGGCATATTGACACATGTTACGAACAAATAAAAATTAAAGTATGAACTATCAGAGGGGAAGCATCGCAAAGCATACATAAAAAACGAACTTTTAAAATAAACAGTCCTAATGTTATGAAAATACCATTAAAATGTTAATATACGAAATGTGTAACCTGACAAATAAAATATTTCCCTCGCCAATCTTTTCTGTGTACTTAATTACGCTTAAAAACTTCGCACTCTCATCCTGCTTGGAGACCACGCATATCTTCGGGAAAATCCGATAGTTTCCGACGTCCCGCGTGGGGTCCACGCGGTGCGTGATTTCCTCGCTATATGGGGGGGGTTACCTACTCATGCATGCTGGAAACTTTACATAGGAGAAGCATTTGACCATTAAAACAGCGTGGTTATCCAGTCAAAATATTTGACATCATAACCAAAGCATGGTTATATTGTTTAAAGTTTGTATATAAGCACCAAGCATGCTGGGAACTTTACATAGGACAAGCATTTGACCATTAAAACAGTGTTGTTATCCATATCAAAATTGATAACATCATAACCAAAGCATGGTTATATTGTTTAATGTTTGTATATGAGCGCCAAACATGATGGAAACCTTATACATAGCATTTGCATAGGACATGGAATCATCCAATCTCGTTCCCGGAGTCTGCAGGATTTCATCTGGCGTAGAAACAAAGGGTTGTTTTTATTTTTGTTTCTTTCGCTTCCTTTCCTCGCCAGAGGAAAATTCTAAAAAAATCAAATGTTAAAGAACAATTTCCGCGAGTCTCGCAAAATTCAGCCTGGGTACGAGGGTGCCACGCCCACAGTACGCCTTCTTTCGAAATCAACAATCACTATTCACCACGACCTCTTTCACAGGTTTTTAATTAACCACCATGGGTAAGTTGGAACATGTAGTGTAATATCGCTTTATTTCTTACAATATTTTAGGTTTCCGCTCTCGAATCGATTCAAAATCAACCTAAAGACCCCATCGGGTGAACAATCTTTGCAACTACATAGTAATTTCGTATTTAAATATCAAAGATGTGCATTTAAATATAGAATCATGATTGATTTATTTAGAAACGCCTGTCGAGTCGTAGTGTGTAGCTTCTGCAAATACAATTGCACAAGGAAATCGTCCACGCCGTCCTACCAAACAGGATAAAATCTGTGCACTTTCCTAGACACTTTGCACGTGATTTCCCAACTTCCTTTTTCCAAATGCCCCAATTGAGCTACCTAATTTTCTATTGTAAAACCGAAATTTCATTAAAATTGCTATTTGAAAGTGAACAAAACGAAAGGCCTTGTTTACATTAAGCCAAGTTACCAAGCAAACCAAGTCGACACCACTGAGTTCTTGCCTGTTCCACATATTGTAAGAATAACTTGTGATGGTGCCACCCTGAGTTATAAACCGAGCAAGCTGAAAAATTAGCTTAACAATGGTAGGAATTGAAACCGGCAACCCTTGGTTGGCTAGTCCAATGCTCTTCCATTGTCAATTCCAACTGTGTTCAAGCTCATTTTGCAGGCTGGCTCATTTTGCAGGCTGGCTCCTTGTTGGTTGGTGACTCAGAGTCGCGCTATCACAATATTAATTCAAACGCCCAAGTCATATGCATATCTTTGACTTGTTTGGCTGTTATTTGATGCATCTGAGTAACTCATGACCATGAGAACACTTTGCCAGGAGAATTAAAACACTGATAGGCAAGTGGAATTAATTTCCCAATATACACATGCACATTGTTTAAAATTATTACTACCAGGGCATGAACTATGTGTAGAGTTCTTCATACAATTACAATGTATTGCAACATATATGCAGAGTTACATCAGTGGTTTCACATAAACACACAATCCTATTTTGCCCTAGCTAGCAAGGCAAATAACTTGGTTATAGCTAGGTAACCTTGCTCCATATAAACCAGGCCTAAATTGTGTTTATACTTCAAACAGATTATTTATTACTGCTAATTAATTTTAGCAGTGGTGCATTATTGTATCATTTCTTTTTCTAATTTCAGAATTCCTGCAGCGGAGTGTACATCTTCAAAGAAAAGCCATTTTAAGATATTTGTTAAAACAGTGTCGATTCAACTCTAGCAATGCTTCAAATAATTTTAATCAATCGCTTGCTGAAAGAAATGCTGCAATAAAGGAAGCAGGCACATGGAAAGATGAACGAGTCATCACTTCTAAACAGGGACCAGAAATTTCTGTTCAAGGATCACAAAATAGAATATTGAACTTTTGTGCTAACAACTATTTGGGTTTATCAGTAAGTATTGCATTTTTTTGTGATATAATATACCTCTCTTTTGGTTTCAAGGTGATTATCTAAAAAAAAGTTTGCTTATCTGGTACATACCACTTTTTGGTCATTAGAATTGATCTGATAGATTTATATTATGAAGCAATATTTGATTACTTGCATTGTGCCTTCTGGTTTTTACCTTCATAAGTTGCTTCACTAATCTGAAGTAAGGTTCTTCACTCTTGTTAATCAAGCATTCCACTGGAGTTGAAGTTATAAATCCAATCTATACTACAAATCAGGCAACACCACGTCATCTAGTTTTTTGTCTTTTGTTTTTTGACATGTGTATTAATAGCTCTCATTATAGGACTCTTGGTATAAAGAAATACCCCATCTTTCAAAATTGTCAATTTATGATTTGTGGTCAACCTAGGTTTACTGGTGTAAATTAGTTTGAAACTAGTGATATTTCTCATATCCACAAACTCATAAAAAACATAAGATGACAAACTGTGGTCGTTGAAATGTTAGCACATCATAAATTCAAGCAGACATTAAATTGTAGTCCGTTGCAAAATGCACGTACGATTCTGATTAAAAGTTGACTATCTTTTCATGCAACCGGTGCGATTCTTTATCTATTTGTGCGAGACTGTTAGCACTACTAAGTCTACTATTTTCATGTTTTTCGGCTGTAGTTTTATCCGATCTTTGTCTTTGACCGTCGGTGTCAACAACAATAACAGTTGTTAGAAATCTGACATGCCGCATTCATAAAGCTCAAAATTACTATGGGGTTAGCTCAGAGAGTCCTTCTATTAGCCCAAAGAAGATACTCACAAATTACGTGGCCGTTTTCTCAATTTTAAGCTTTTTCTTCAGTCTAATATCGCTTGTCGGTCTCAAAATCCATACAAAATTACAATATTTTTCCCGCGCTTTTCTATTGCCATTTTTGGACCCAGACCCTATTGCATGGATCTGGGGGACACCGCGGAAATTGGTATAGGCTTAGCCGCAATTCTCGATACTTAGACTTCAAACTTGGTGAGGAAAAAGATTTATAAATATTCAAGAAAATATGTCTTGCACAAAAGATTTGAAGCTTGCTCACGGTAAAAACGAATCGTCTGAATTAATAACCTTGTGTATACTTTAAGCCTCAAAATGGGCCATTTCACAGCGGTCAGATGTGTATGATGAGCTGTCAAAAGATTGCAGAATGCGTATTCAGAAGAAAAATTGAACTTTTTTAAGATATTCAAAAGGTTTCTCTTTGATAGGGCGATACAGAAATGCACAATTGTGAACCAGCGATTAGATTTTCGGGTTGAAACGTCTTAAACACCAATTTCTGCGGTGTCGATCTGGGGCGGTTGCACAAAGGCCGTTGACCGAAAAACAGAACGTCGATTTTGGAGATAGCCTTTTTTTATAGATTATTTAAATCATGGTTTCAAACAACAATTAACTGAACACCGATTTACGCGAGCTTGCAAAAATTTGAAAGCATTGCAGGGTCAACTTATAGTTATATATAGCTAATATGTTGTTCTTTGAAGTTTTGCATGATGTTATTCAATATAGTTGTTAATCGCTTGTGATTTACATCATGTAAAAAAAGCATAAGCTTAGAAATTTAATAAATTACATGGTGTAAATTGCCAGCAATTAACAACTATAATATGTTGTTTTCATTGTCCGTGTACTTTGTAGTCTCATCCTGAAGTGATCAACGCAGGCAAAAACGCTTTGGATAAATATGGAGCTGGCTTAAGTTCTGTTCGATTCATCTGCGGAACACAGGTAGGCTATTGAGATTTTACTACTTGACTGAAAGAATAAAGTTAAGGCGATACGGTAAGGTTTTGTGTTTTGAACATTTTCCCGCCAAAATACGCGTAAGAGATAATTTGTTACTTAACAGCCAAAAGCTTACTCAAAATATATATAGAAAATTAACTAAGATAATTATATATTCTCTAGGATATTCACAAGGAACTCGAAAATAAGATAGCTCAGTTTCACGGTCGAGAAGACGCCATATTGTATCCAAGTTGTTTTGATGCAAATGCTGGTCTGTTCGAGGCAATTTTGGAACCAGAAGACGTTTTGATTAGCGATGAATTAAACCATGCTTCGATCATTGACGGCGTGCGATTGTGCAAAGCTAAAAAGTTGCGATATAAACACAGAGATATGAAAGGTAAGTATTTACTTTGAGCTGGGTTTCGCAATTTCCGAAGGGACACTGATATTACCAGCAAAAATCTCGTATTTTCCCATCATTTATGCCCCGAGTTGGTAATGAACAGAGTTACAAAAAAGCTGCGGGTACGCGGGTACCACCCGGAGGAAGGTTTGCTTTGAATGCGGTTTGTGAGGTTTGTTCAAAGTTGAACACTCTAATTGCATGACATATGCATGTACCAAAAAACCAAATATTTCTTTATGCTGGTTGCCACTTGACTCAGTAACGTAACGTCATTTTCAAAACTTGAAATCCTACCGGAGGAAGGTTGAACTCTTTTTGCAACTCTGGTAATAAAATGCTCAAATTTCGCTCATAGTTTTTGACCAGAGATTCATTCTTCTCATTGCACAGACTTAGAGTCCATGTTGTCAGAAAACAAGGATGCCAGAACAAAACTCATTGTAACTGATGGTGTGTTCAGCATGGACGGAAATGTGGCGCCTCTGAGGTACCAGTCGTCTTTACTACCTGCTATTGCACTCTTCTATAATAATAACTACACTCTTCTTCTGAGGGTCAATCTACCAACGTGATAATCTGCGATGTCTTTTTTTACTGTAGAGACATTGTTTCTCTGGCCGACAAATATGAAGCGATCATTTTCGTCGACGAGTGTCACGCCACGGGATTCTTTGGCAAAACGGGAAGGTAATAACGCGATTATTTATTAGAAAGAATTCACAGCTTTTGATTGAGAGAAATCGTCTGACGTCATAACGACTGACGTCATAACGTGGCATACGACTTTTTATGCATGCTAATACGTCACTTTCTTCCATGCAGGGGGACCGAGGAGTTCTTTGGGTACAAAGGACGTGTTGATATCATAAACTCTACTCTGGGAAAAGCGTTGGGTGGTGCAGCAGGTATTTGAATACAAACTTCCTTGGATGTCATTGAATAGCCTTTTTGTTTCCTATAGCCATGCACAATACATCATTAATTTTGTGCTAATCAAGTGTATACTTACACCGTTTATTCTAGTTTTTCTCACATCATACTTAATGTTTAGAGTAAAATTATTAGCTGCATGTAATTCGGTTTCATAAAATATACATCGCGTTTCTTTATTCAAAGTTAAGTAATAGCTACGTTACAGTAGCCTGATTTAAAACTTTTGTGTCCCATTTCCAGGTGGATATACCACAGGTTCGAAGGAGTTGATCGCTCTGTTACGCCAAAAATCTCGACCGTATCTTTTTTCAAATACCTTGCCACCTCCTGTTGTCGCCTGCGCTTCCAAGGTCAGTTGTCGCTTGCTTTTGCTTGCCATAAAAAGTTTCATTTTCCCGCCAAAATATATGCACTACTAAAATCATTGCTTGCAATCGAGCAAGTGCAAAAATACTGTTTCAAATGTTTTCTTGACAACAGTTTATCTAGTAACCCACGAATTTGTCTGTTTCTCTGTCGATTCAGGCTAATTATTTTATGAAATACTTCCAACTGCAGGTATTTGACTTGCTGATGGATGGCACTGACCTCACAACGAAGGTTGCTGAAAATACAAAGTTATTCAGGGACAAAATGACTGAAGCTGGTTTCACAATTGCTGTAAGTAGAAAAATGTCAACCTGTGTAAGCTTATCTCCTCGGGAAGGTCACGATTCTCAATTGGGATTTCCACATGCAGAGAAATATTCCGCTTGCGAAATATTTCCATGTTTATTTTCAAGTCGAGAGCAGTCGAGTTGACGTAGTTTTTAATGCAATTCAGATACCAAAGAGAACCAACTCATATTTTGTGTGCGAGTCGTTTCTCTGAATTTGGAATTTTTGAATGACACAAAAATTTACAAATTCCTTCCCAACCTCGTACCCAGGGTTTTCCCTCTCCCTCGCGTGGTTTTAACTGGCATTTTCTGCATTCTCTGCTTTGTTTCTGCTAGGGTGAAGATCATCCGATATGTCCAGTAATGCTAGGAGACGCTCGTCTAGCCGTCGAGTTTGCTGATGAAATGTTGAGTAAGTCGCATTAGTTCAAACTGCACGATTTAACTTAATACGCCAACACTGAATAATTTAAAGATGGCAATATTCAGGGCTCTTTGATTATCAAATAAATTACTATGCTATGGAAGTGATGACCAGTAATGATCATTCGTGTTACGTATACTTTGAAATTCCACAAGAAAACTGTTTAAATATCACAATCATGCACACAGTCTACAATTAAAATCTTTCTCCCCTTCATTTTGGCTTGGCCAAGTGTCATTCTGTACGCCAGCTGACGTTATTTGAAATAAATTTTGTAGAGAGAGACATATATGTTATTGGATTCACATTTCCAGTTGTTCCTGTGGGTAAGTACACACTATAATACATATATATGCATTTGCTGGTTCTGCAGTGATCATGCAGCGAGTGATTTTAGTGACGAAATATTTTTGCCGCAGCGTCAACTGCATAAATGCCTTTTGCCTCGCACAGACAAGCTGTTTTCCCTTTCCCTTTCTAGTATATATTCCTTCGTAGCTACAACAAACAATATTTCTTTGTCAGTTTGTCGGTCGTAAGCATTAGCGGTGGGAAGGAAGTTGATTGATTTTTTTGCTATACTCCCGAGCATTAATTAAAATCAACCTGAGACGTTGGCCGTGAATCGTACGTAGGTAGAAAAGCCTGCATGGCTTGCGAGGTTATAATTAAAATCTGTAACTAAGAAATTTCGCAACGCTGTATGATGGAAAGTTCGCTACCTAAAACGGTTAATGCTATCTCGGCTTTTTCATGTGCCCAAGTATTGAACCGACATAGGCCGGACTATGAAAGCTGGATGGCGCTATCCATCGAATAGTGATTTCTTCGACCGTAGTGGGTAGTTCAGGTTGAATGAAATAAAACTACTACTGCATGAAATGAGGCTCACAATTAGTGAAGAATAACTCTAAGAATACTAACATTCGACAACAGGGAATTGTTATCACTTACTCCTTACTTTTTACTACTCAAAATGGTAATTAATGTACCTTTTTTATCGGAGGTAGCCGATATTTATGCATTTTAATTGAGTTACTAAAAATGTAAACAAATTTGCTGATTGGTTACATTCGACTCACCCCCGGATTAGCCGGGACATCTTGGCTCATGTGAACCACCCGAATTTTACGACCATTCGTTTTCTCGATATGTCGTTTGCAAAAATCCCGCGTACAATTTTGCAACGGAAGTGTAAAACTCTCGAATTCGACGTCCTAAGTGTTTTTGTCATCCAAGGTAAATCCCGTATACGAGTGCAAATATCAGCTTCGCACAGTCGAGAGGACATCGAGAAATGTATAAACGCTTTTATCGAAGTCGGAAAAAAGAAAGGGGTCATCAACTAATAATCTAAACAATAATTGTGTTCGTAAAATTTACCTTTAGTTGAATATACAGTAGCTAATATATTTATCGGGTCTCCCCAAAAAGAGACCATTCGAAAGTAGTTCTTTGTAATACTTAGAATGTCAAGGTAAATAATAAATACAGTATTAGAAACGTTAATTTTACGGCCGTTGCTTTAACTAAGACTCAGTGCTATTTAAAATTACGTAGCCATGAATTTTGTGGGTACTCTTACGTAGCCATAAATTATTAAAATGATGCATTTCAGTTGAGGAGGACGCCTCGTAAATGTAAAAATATAACTATGGCGCAAGATTTATTCCAAATAAACACTTTTGAACGCTGTATTCAAGTTGTTGTGGGTCGTGATTCGTTGTAATTCGAATTGAGCGCGGCGACAAATTATGACATATATAGAACACCCAGCCTTCAAACACATTCTAGACACCAGTCTCATTCTAAACACCAATTACATTTTGTACAAGTTTTTTTTTGTAAGTGTTATTTTTACCCAAAGAATGCTATGCCCGCCATTTTGGATTGTCGAGAATAAGCCACTGAGCTCAATAATAATTACAAAATATTATATGGCTCACTGGAGTATGCATGACAGCAATAATCAAATTTAACCTAAAACTTGTGTTTGGTAGGTCAAATTTAGAAATGAATAAAAACAATTTAATTAAAGAACGTTTGATTGCTACACGGTAATTCAGTAAGTAAAGGCTCACCTAGAGTTCACTAGGCTCATCTGACGTCATCCAAGATGGCCGACAATTCGTTAGAATTCAGAGCACAACAAGATTTCATAGATTATTCAAACTTTCTTTCAAACAAACTTATATTTTTCGTTTCAATTGTCTCTTAAGTATCTAAATGTGGATTAATCATTGTAGAATAACATGCTTTTTAAAACGGTCCCACATCATTATTTCTGGTTATTTTTTTATCACACTCAGTACAAAATTGCCAGTCTTTCAATACAGAAACTACTATATACATGCTGTATGCCAATCCTACAGGTATCTGACTATAAAAAATATGTGACTCTAGCCTGCGGCGTATATATACAAGGTGGTTAAAAATTATATAAATCGTTATAAATCGTTAAATCGAGGTTCGTTTTTCGGCGTTTCTCGGTTGCATTTCTTTGGAATTGCGAGCAGGTACAAGCTCGGTACGAACAAGCTTTGCTATTGGTTGATGATAACATTGAAACACAATGAACGATAGAAAGTCATTTTGAAAAGAACGAATCATAAACACAATCGCAAAACTCGGTCATATTAGGTAGATATTACTGAAGGCTGGTAAAAACGATTCAAAATATTCCGGAGGCAATTCGAAGGGAAAGTGAAATATTTGGTAAACGGGAGCATCACTCGAGGAATCTCCTCATTCCCGTCACTGATCTGAAATACACTGGATAACTATACCTCGAAAACGTAGCCATAGAAGACCACTTGACTTCATGGTTCAAGTGGTCTGTTAACGAAGTTTCGGATCCCTATTTGAAATAGCGACAAATGTAGTATTTTTCCTGCTTCTAGGGCTACGATTTCGTCCTTATAGTTGCTATATCCAGTCTCATCAGATCAGCGATTCCCCTAAGCAAAAATCGCCTGCCGATCCGCCCCCTGACGATTTTGTCCCGGAATGTAAATTTCGAGAGTTCTTATAATCATTCATGTCTTTAGAAAAAGTTGCATAAAAAAGCTGCTGAAAGTTGCATATTAATTCTGCAACTGCAACTTGTTGTTCTAAAATTTTCGATCTACAAAGCTGCAAAACTTTATGATACTTATTGTGTGTGTGGAGATTATATTAACTATACCTATCAAACCATGCCAAGATGCCTCTCTTCAAATTGTATTCCCTCATTCGGTAGTCCCTCGTCACCAGTTTCTAGTTTTTTCTGCGGCAGCGCGTACTTCAACTGTTGCCAGAACCATTTACTCTCGACGCTCAAATACGTATTCGTCTTTAGATACAACTTCAACTCGTCATCTAAACTGTCCACATCAACATCGTCAAAAAGGACGACGATCAAATAATTCACACGTCCCTTTAAGACCCTCCGATGCGCAGCACGAAATTCCAACATGCACCATTCGCTTTGTATGAAATTTCGCGATAAAACCATGATCATTCGACGACTCTTCTTAACACAGTCCAGGATAGTCTCGGCGATTGGTGCCCCCGGGATAAAGTCCCTGTAGTGAACGCATAATTTATACGGTGGATTGTGATCTTTTTCCAATTTTTCTTGCAAAGTTTTTTCTACCCAAACTTTATCCCTGATGTTGAAGGAGACGAAAGCGTCGTAGATCTTGGACGGGTCTGAATCGTCCACGCGGTCGAACGGATGCCAGTTGAATCTCGTGTAAAGAATAAGCTTCAGTTCTTTACGAAAACGATAAAGAAGAATAGCTGCGATAATATTTAGGAAGAAAATTCCTGCGACAGCATAGAATACGACGTCTCTTACAGTATGTATATTTCTATTCGCATTCTTTCCCGGATCAGTTTCCTTACTGCAAACAAAATCTTTGTCTTCAATCGAAATTAAAGGTTTTGCTACATTCATCCCACCTGAACTACAAACAACACTTCTTGCACCGCCTGCAAATATTTTCTCTTGTTTTTTCAACCAGTTTTTCATCCAAAGACTCTTGCAATCGCACGTAAAATAATTATTATTGATATCAATCTTAGACAGGGACAAATTTTGAAAACGTTTTGGAAGTTTGGTTAACTTATTCGAATTCAAGTAAATCTCTTTCAATTTCAATGGGGTATCAACCAAATGAACGCTCTTTATCTTATTGTGACCAGCCTTAATTACAGTAACATTTTCCAAGCTTTTCGAAAGAGTTAACTCTTCGATTTGATTATCCTGTAAACATAGTTCAAGTGTCTCTTTCGGTAGATCTTTAGGAACTGCCGTAAGGTTCCGTCCCCGACAGTCTACGAACGTGACGAAATCGGAATTGCTATCATGATAGCAACTGCATCGCTCGGGGCACTTCGGACAGTCTCGCTTCACGCACCTGAGATCGCTCGGGGGAACATTCAAAACTTTCTTTCCGCGTAAATTTACAGGCGACTGGCAAATCCAGGTATCAAAATCCTTTCCCGTAATTTCTTTTACGGTTTTTGTCCAATTTCGCACTTTTAACTGCAGCTCTCTCGTTCTGCAGTCACAATGGAGGGGATTTTCCGTTAAACGAATCGTGAAAACGCGAAGAATAAACATGAGTTTTTTTAATCTTGTGCTGTTAAAATCGTGCAAGTCAAAACGTTCAATTGCGTTTCCTTGAAGGTTTAAGATTTTCTTACTGTTAGAATTTAGCGGCAATTCATTGACTGATTTTGTGTGGATAGAGCTGCCCAAATTGGTGTGAACAAAGACGATGTTTTGAAAACTAACACTGTCGATTGTCTTGACAAATCCGGCAAAGTTAACTTTATTCTCCGACACATCGAAAGATTCTAAATTTCGAACGTAGAAACCAAACTGTGGTACCTCGCGCAATTTATTCTTACGGAAATTAATTTTTCTCAGCGCGTCGAAGACGCCTTGAGGTACAGCGTTCGGTTCAACCAAACTTAGCAAATTGTTTTCGAAATTGATCGTCTCCAATTTTTGCAACGTGTTCGTAAGAAAACCGTTCCGTAAAGCATATATGAAGTTGTTTTTTACGCTAAGCGTTTGAAGATTTGTTAATTGTTTGAATATTTTTCCATTCAACGAGGTCAGACTGTTATTATCAAAGTTTATTGAAACAATATCCAATGTTTTTTCAAAAATTCGTTCAGGAATATGGCTAAGATTATTTCGACTCAAATCGACAACTTTTAAGCCCGTCACATCGTCAAACATCGTCGAATTAATGAACTTCAGTTCGTTTGCGCGCAAGGAAATTTTATCCAAATTTCCGGGAGAAAATTTATAATTTTTGTGATTGATTCCCGGGTTCGAATGAACGGCGAAAAATCGGCGATACAAGCGGGGGTTTACTATCGCGTCCTCCGTATAATGTGCGTCCAACACCGATGTACGGGACAAATTTCTCGGAAGTTTCAATCCCGTTTTGCACCATGGGAAATTAGGTAGGGCCCGTAAATTGTTCCCGCATAACACTAAAGACTGTAAATACGGCATAGTCGTTTTCAAAATATCTATTTCTGAGCCAAGCAACAACATATCACGCAGTTGTAATTCGGCCATCTTCTCCCAGACATAGGACAAAAACATTCGGGGAATTGTCTTGTTTTTCATATTGCTCAAAGTCAACAAACCGATATTAAATAACCCTTGCAACTCGGCCTTTGTCTCACCGTTATCTTGTAAAGTGACTTGGTTATGCAGGTGCAAACCATGTACGTTCACGGTTCGTCCCCAAACTGCTAGGTCTGCGCCTGTGACGCGACAATTGCCTGTGAATCCGAGGTGCATTATGATGTCATTCTCGGTAACATTACCCGCTCGGCAAAAAGACACCCTTGCCGGGTTAGGACAATGGAACGCAACGAGGAACGCAACATGCCTTTCAGAAACGACGGACGTTTGGGCCATTCTTCGGAGGATATCTTCAACGTTTAAGGATAATGTGCATTCCATTGTAGCGTTTCGCGATGATAGTATCAAGCCAACAGGTTGCGAGTTAAGAAATTCCCTTTCGCCAACTGTGAACAGCAGCGGAAACTGTTTCTTATCAAATTTGTATTTAACATTGCATATATTCGTATACTCTGTCTCCAGATTATTCGGACAACCGTCCGCTACGACATGGAAATTTAGAAGCCATATTAATGCGATGAAAAGCATATTTTCCTCATGAAGAATGCTCTCTCGAAGCTAAAGTCAAGACTCTTTAAAGCCAGCGTCCAGCGCTGTCGTTTACTATTGAGCTACAAGCAACAACGTGTAATCGTTTACATTCGACTTCCGCATTTTCGCGTACACCCAGTCGGCTTAAGGAGGAATTTTCTTTAATACACATGTCAGTATTACAAAGACCAGGGCGAAACCAGGAATCATCCGCCTAATATGGTACTGGAACTGAATGCTGCTGCAGATATCAGTGCAGAGCTTTAATTTGACGGTGGCTAGGAGCGAAATTCGTAGTTCCGTTCTAAACCCGATGTTGTTTGTTTAAGCCATTTGACGACACTCGTATGCTTTGCCTTTGCGCTTTAAATCACGAAGTTGATCAACGAACGCGTACTCGAATGCCCGACGACTGTATGCCAGAGGTTTGCGTGATGGCGTGAGCGGGCAATTGTCACAGCTGAACCAAGATTGTATTAGCCACTTGTCCAATATCATCTCACGCGGATTGCATTGTTGGTTCATAAATAAACGACGGATTAGCCCCTAAATATATCTATGATTTAATGGCCAGGGGCGCCGGAACCACGGGGGCAGCGGGGGCAGCTGCCCCCCCTGCCCTTTGTTCACGGGGGCAGCGGGGGCAGCTTGCCCTTTATATGTTCATAGGCATTGAATGTATATATTTTCAGGCAATTTGGGAATTAATTCCCAATGAATCGTTGCAAACTTGTAGTTGTCAGTTTTTATAGTCATCGGCCGATACTCCTACTGCCTACTGACAAGTTTAAAACCCGTGTAAAATTGAATTGCTACTCCATTCCGCTGTCCACTGGTGTTTTTTATACGGTTGTGGGTTGCGTAAGAGATAAATGGCGGACGCGCGAGGGTATGACGGTTGTCCCAGGGATAATTAGGGATTGATGTACACATGCACAAGGAAATATGGGAGCTTGCCTATCCAAAGCGAATTGATATGAATTATTGATAAAGGTAATTTCATACATATTATTGATATTAAGTATTCAAAGCTCTTCTATCTCGATCAGTATTCTAGGACCTAGGTTTCTTGCCAAAGAAGTGTACATTGAAAAGTGTACAGGTGAAAATGCCAAAGCATGAAGGGTTTTAGGTTTACTATTTCACAATTATTTACCAAATGTGAGCTGTGATAACAAGCCATCTCGTAAATATGCAGCTTGTAATTAACGAACCTGAGGTCACTAATTGTTTGAGTATAATTTCCCAGAGAGAAAACAGGGCCTAAAAATTTGTATAATTGTATTTTCGCAAATTTCTAGATTTCATGTTTACAATGGCTTTAAAACGAAAGAGTGCTTTGCTTTTTAGGGAAGTCAGTTCAAGCGTAGTTTTGCTTCTTGTAGTATTTTTATTTAAGCACGAGTATTTTCATTTGTATATTTCGGTATATTGACACTTCGCAAATTTGAGTATTTGACCGAGGTGGCGACATGGCGTGCGCTGAGAGAATAATGGCGCCAGCGCTACTATATGTCAGCACTTGAATAAAGAAATACTTCATCTAAAAGCAATCTAATAGAAGGCCACCTGTGACTTGTAAAATATAAAACACAGATGTTTACTTTAAAGATGCTTACTAGATGTTCCCTTTACGAGTTCCGATACTTAAATTATATAAAAAACTCTTTCAGTGACAATACAATGCCAAGAGCAAATCGCTTGCAAAGTGTTGCTAGGAAGCAACTTTTAGAAGCTTCTAAAGCTAGGGGCCAAACTAAACTGTCCTTTTCCACACAATCTATCGCTTTTAATGATAATGCTGAGTGTACCACAGAAGAGAGACATAGCAGTGTTAGTGATGCCTCCACTTTATGTGATGAAACAGACGATCCTTGGATTAAAGCCACGAATTATGACTTTCGTTTTACATCGAGCGTGAAAAAAATGAGTGAAAACAAAGGAAGGTATTTTCAAAAGGAATGGTTTCATCACCATAACTGGTTGTGGTACCACCAAGAAAAAAGGGCTGCGTTTTGTGGAGAATGCACCTTGTTTCGACAACCACATGATTACTCGCCGTTTATCTTCTCCGATAAGGCAGAAGGTTTTAAAAACTGGAAAAAAGGCAAGGAAAGAATAGAGGAACATGAACGCAGTGAACAGCATCGAAGTGCTGCTAAAGAATCCAAAAAAGACCAACCTGACGTAGCTTGTCAAATAGATAGTGAGCGACGAAAGCAGCAACAACTGAGACAGACTGGTTTAGTCGCTCACTTGGATACTATGAAAACTCTCTTAAGGCAGGGACTTGCTATTCGAGGTCATCAAGATGAAGAATCCAATATTGCTCAATTTAATAGGGACAAAGCCAAAAGTAACCCCGGCTTGAAAATGCTAATAAGTGAAAAATATTTCTCTCACGATATCCTAAATGAGCAAGAAAGATTGATAGTGTTGAATGCAAGACGAACATTAGTTGAAGAAATTAATTCAAACAATTTCTTTTCTATCATATGTGATGAAGCAAGCGATATTTCAAAATTGGAGCAATTGTCGTTTTCAGTCCGAACTTGCAACAACAGTTACGAGACAACCGAAAACTTCATTGGCGTATTGTCATGCGACCAAGGCTTGACATCAGACGCTTTGTTGAAGTATATTCACGACATAATGTTGCGATGCAATATGGACACAAAAAAGCTCGTTGGCACAGCTTTTGACGGAGCATCGTCTATGACACGACTTGCCGCACTCATGAAAGAAAAGTTTGGGGATAACATAATCCATATCCACTGTTTTGCACATTGCAATGAGCTTGTGTTTAAAGATGCCACAAAATTGTCCCCGTTGATTGCTGAAGCACAAGATCTGTGCGAAGATTTGTATGTTCTAGTGGGCGTGAGTCCAAAACGTGTCCTTCTTTTTGAGAATATACAAAAAGAAATCGCTAATTCTTCAGAGAGCTTCTCAGAGATTCTGAAGTTAAAGAATTTATCTCGAACAAGATGGACGACAAGAGGTTCAGCAGCTGCGGTGCTCATAAAAAAAACTCCAGAGTTACAAGAGGCGTTAGAAATCTTATCAAAGGATCTTAGCATCACTCCTGAGTGTCGTGCAAAATCACGTGGATTGCTTGGAAAAGTTAGATCAGTGCGACCGATGTTTCAAGTGGTTGTTATGCATGAACTTGCAAATTTATTAGAAAATAATTCCAAGAATTTACAATCCGCATCACTCACGGCAGAACAAGCAGTTTATAGTATAAAGAAATTGCAAGTGCGTCTACAGGAGATAAGGTCCGAAGAAGAGTTTCAACGTCTGTATGAGCAGACAATGAAGTTGGCAGAGTTACGAGAAGAACATGAAACACAAAAGTCAAAAAGGCAAAGAAAAGCTCCATGTCGTCTGTCCGAGTATGTTGCTCATTCAAGTTCGCCATCATCTGCGACAGAAATGAATATTACAACGGAATTACTGCGTATTTATTATGAAGCTGTTGATGCTGTGGTGGAAGCACTACAGGGACGTTTTCGTCAAGAAGATTTAGAGATTCTTGAAGCAATAGAGTCATGTTTACTTGCAGCAGCAAACAAAAAAAATTCCTCAGAAGAAGTTCGACCACAGTTAAAAAGTTTACCAGCAGTTATTAATACTGATATCTTGGAGGAGCAGCTAAAAGAGCTACCAGTTGTGTTAAAGCTTTACAACGCAGAACATGCATTACCTATCAAGACGGTCACCACCCTATCGACGCTTTGTGAAATTTTGAACTCTAGAAAGAGCATCAAGGAATGCCTTTCGGAAGTTCATAAACTGTTGACATTTTACATGTCAGTTCCCATCAGCTCCGCTACAGCAGAAAGAACTTTTAGCACAATGCGCCGTATCAAGTCATGGCTCAGATCGACCATGTCCGAGAACACCCTAAATAATAGAATGTTCGCTGCTATCCACAAAGGACGAATTGACGAAATAAATAGCGAAAATATTGCTAAAGAGTTCATAGTGGCAAACGAACAACGGCGACGTTATTTTGGAAAATGTTAATTAAAAGGTTTAATTAACTCTATCGTGGAATAACTAGTTTGTTACTGTTTGTTTATATAATTTCATCATTTCAATTTTTCATTAAAGCATTATTACATCTTTATTTTGTAATTTTTGTTCTTTAATATCGGTTTATTGCCGAAAGCAGAAGCGCACAACGTTGAATTCCATAAGAAACCATTCTTTATTTGAAGATTGAAAAAAGACATGCATTTTCTAACTTTAAGTCTAACTTTTTTTCTTGTTTTCTTAACAAACTAAAGTGCCCTTTTTCGAGTTGCTGCCCCCCCTGCCTTTGACTGTGTCCGGCGCCCCTGTTAATGGCCCAAAGTGGAGCTCTCTATACGGAGATTTTGTCAGTCACTTTGATATATTTGCCGACAGCCTGACTTCCAGGTTGCCGAAACTGATCTTTGAAAGCGTGGTGCAGTCTATTGCTTTTGTGTATAATTGATGATTCCGACTATACACGAAATCTAACACCGCATCTTCCAATAGCACACAGTATAGACTTATCTGCAAATCTTACCCAAATCTTGTCGACCTTTTACGAAAATGTAGCCAAACATAGAATAATTAGCCAGGCGAGGTTTAAAACTTCACTGTATATAGAGAACTGTATATAAAGATATACATTTTCAGGCTGAAGAAATTTAAAATATTCACAGTCAGCTCAGTATAGTTTTTTTCCGCGCTAGTACATTTATGCAGTACATGAAAAAATTGCGTGCATTTTACACATGGCACTACACAACGAAATTTTGTAATCTGTGTGATCTAGTTTATTCTCTGGCTGGTTACAAAACAACCCAGCACAAGAATCCATGTTATACTATAGTTTCACATGATGGGCGTATCAATTACCATAACTATAGCGCCGTATAGACGTTGTTGAGAGCTTTTCTTAGTACTAAAGTTGTTTTACTAGAGATTGGGTGTGGCAAGTGTCTGAACGACAACAATATACTGATGCGATTAACTTAAAATGAATGGGTAACTTTATATCTGTTACAGCAAATGTATTTAGACCATCTCAAAGAGAATTTGGCAAATTTAAAAGATGCCGGA